AATACAGCCTCAAATACATAAAAATTAACATATTCAGTGATATTATAGGTGTATCATTTTCTACAATTTTCTAAACTCATCTTTAATGTGATAGCTACTCAGATGTGCAGAAATAAAGCGTGAACAAAACTAATTACTTTGTTGATATTCATTTACTTGAAATAATTAATATTGAGAAAGCTGCTTTTAAAAGGCAAAACAGAAGTTTACCATAGTAAACTGGCATGAACATCTTGGTTATCCAAATGCACATGAAACATACAGGTTTAAAATACGCATTTAAAATGCAATTCAACAGCAGTTACTAAATGGAAGCAGAAAATGATGTACTTTAAAATAGTGGTTGGGCATTTTGTAGTAGAAACACAACATGGTTGCTAGACTTTTACCATTCAAGAGGCATCTACCAGTCATACATCTAGAATACATACAAAGCTTGAGATATAAACCAGGTAAAGAGGTTTACTCATGCCCTTTAGAATCCCTTTTCTCCTATATGTATCATTTTACTCAAGAGGAAAAAAAAAAACCACCTAGAAATTACAATATACGGAATCTAGGTAAAGCTAACGGATGAAAAATTTTCAGCTTAAAATTCTACAGCCATTTGTAGTATTTTAAAGCACAGCTGGGCATACCTGAGCTAGATTCAAGTTTGCTCCGGTTTTCTTTAGTTCTGGAGTTAGTGTCCAGATAGCATAACTTCACAAAAATTTTAATGACAATACCTACTATATATTACATCATCACAGAGGAACAGCTTCCTCTACCAAAATAAGTAGTAGTTAAGATTTGACCAGTGAGTGTTCCTCTTAACTCAGTAAAATTTTGGAAAAGGAATCTAATGTTTTTCAGAATTATATCGCTAAGTAGTAGTAAAACTTCTCTACTCTGGAGTGAATGGATGAACCAAAAAATGAATTTTGTCAAAGTAGCACAAATACAGTAATAATCTATTGCATTTCATGCATATAAACATCAGTGGTCATTTTGCCACCATCTTCAAACATGCCATTACATTTTTAGTGTTCAAGTTAAAATAGTATTGATAAATAAACGTGGTCTGATATTATCATTTTATCTATCAACAAACTACAAAATGCATCACAAGTGCTGAATCTTATGCCAAGAGCCACAAACAAGGAACTACTAAATAGTAGTTTCAGCTGACCAATTTTAGCTTTTCAGTTTAACATCTAAATTTCCTGTTTAACACTAAAAGCTTTTAATTTGACCTATAAAATAAATTGAATCAGACTACCTGCAGTAATTTTTATAGCCATGCAATTAAAAAACTATCCCATATTTAAAAATAAACACAGATTTTGCAAGTAATCTTAGAGGTAGGTCATGTTTATGACATCTCATTCTCCAATTGAGAAGTGAGTACAGTATAGTCTATTCTACAGAAAATAAGCCTTGCATCATAGGTCCATGACTTCTTCACTTAGAAGTTGAACTGTTAACTCTAAGAATCAGAAAAGCAAATCTCCTTTTATAGCACGAGGTGAGGCCAGCTACTCTGAAGCTACTTACTTGACAGTGAATTCTTTCTCAGGACAAATTATTTGGGCAAAGATGACAAAGCATCACCACCCCAATGATTCTCCATGCAAGCTGTAGTCCTACAGATTTTATGCCACATTAATAGGCTGTAGGGTGGTCATAAAAATTAAGCCTTTGAGTCTCCGTTAATGTGCACCTAGTCCACCAAGGTCTACATAACCTGAAGAGCAAGCTGCCATTTAGTAGATGAAAAGATGTTCTTCCTACAAGAAAAGGCTCTAAAAAGCACAAAAAAGGAACAAAGGACATTTAAAACTGCTTTTATTATAGTATCTGTTCAGCACAAACAGTAACATGATGATATAGGAAGTATGTAAGGCCATTAAGATCAAACTGCTCAACTTCATATGCATCATAAAATACTTAAGTCAGTCAAGATGATTCAGCTCATGAGCACTATATATATATATATATACACACACACACACACATATATATGTACACACACACACACACTTTTTTAATGAGCAGGTCAATTAAAACTGGTAATTTCGGAACTTTAAGGACTTAACATTAGGAATATAAATCTTGAACTTCACAAATTTAGTCCCATCATTACTATCAGGGTTTGAGTATACGCTTTTATTTGAATCAGTCTACTCTTGGCTTTATCGTAAGAGACTTTGTAGTACTTCTGGTGATTCTGACCCTCTAAACTGAAGGATCATTTGGATCTCAAATATGTTCAGCTGTTCTTTTCAAAGATATCAAATCATTTCTAATACAGAATTTCAATTCTCAAATTTCACATCAAAAAATTACATAACGAAGTTCCAAAATGTACATAACAGCCTCATTCGTTCATCATTAGCTGTGTTTTGATGCAAGACATCCTCCTGTATGCTACATGTCTACTATGTATAAATATGATTTGCTTTTTATCTTGCAGACTAACAGTAACTCACTGCAGATAAAGGCTTGTTACAATCCAAAGAGACATTTTTAAAAAGCTTAATCAAAATAGGTCTATGACTTCTCTCATAAGAGGTGAAGTCAACATCCAAGCCAAAGAGAGCATCTGCACTCAGGCAGGGAATAAGCTCTGTGGCTTTTCTTAAGTTATCACGATAAACTAAATACATTATCAAAGGAAGTTATCAAGAGTATTCTTGAGAATCCTGATACTCAGATACTCATGTCTCCATCAAGATGCCTTAAGCTTGAATGTCCTGAATTTATTTTATAGTATATTAGCATAGTAACCTGTGAAAAGGAACCAGTTAAGACAGACAGACAAGACTTCCAACTTCAATTATGTGGTGATGAAAGTATGACTCAAATGTAACTCTGTTTAAAGTTACAGAACTTTGAAGTAAGTCTCAAAAAAAAAAAAAAAACCCGAAACAGCAGAAAATTGATTTGTTTGTACCATTAAGAAAGACAGCAAGATACTTTGTACCGACCCGATGTGGGTTTTGGGTGTTTTTTGTTGTTGTTTTTTTAAGAGTACAGTTTAGGTGGAAAAAAGTTTTAAGTTTTATGTAAAGATGCAAAGTTAGGCTTACGGAAGTCTTGGCAAATATCTTGAACTAATGACTTGAATTGAGGGAAATTTACTTCTAACATCTGATTACACTGCACATGCTTAGTAGGTATGGCAATCCTAATAAACAGAGTTTTATTTTTACATTGTGTTGGTAGGGTTATTTCAAATCTTTAAAACGGTATGTTTTACTTCTGAGCGACCATAAAATCCTAAAAAATGTGTAAAGGCACATTACCATTACTGTATTTAGTACATATTAAAAGTCTTTAAATGCACTAAGGCTTAAAGAAAATTCAACAAGGTAGAAAAAAAAAGTAGCTTAAAGGTTCAATGTTTATTTTGCTCAAAAATGTCTCCTAAGATAACAAAATCTAAATAAACATACCTGATACGCACAGTACAGAATTCTGATCGTGGTCTTTTACTCGATCAGCCATCTGATTCTTCAGAAGTAACTTATCAACAACAGCCAGTTCTTGCCTTTAAAGAAAAAAAGTTTCAGAGAACAAAGATATATACAGATCCTACCTATAGTTCTAGTGTTCCTGACTAATATAAACTTTTTTGAAAATATGTAAGGTGTTTTCACGATTGACAAAAAAAACTTTACTGCATTACAAATGAAAGTAATGTCTTATTTGTGAGGTATTAGCATTCTGGTCTCCAAAAGGAGAAAAAGGCCCCAAAAAGCTTCTTATGTATATATACCTGGAGCTGAGAGTTTTATTGTCACAGATAAACTCTACAATATGCCCAAGTGTTAACGTTAAAAACTTATTAAGTACAAAATACAAACAATTTATGAAGTTCAATGCATGTTTTCATTTCTGAAAGGAGGTGAACGAAACATTTTGGTTTATGTGAATGCGTAACAATTTCCCACCAAATGCAATGCAAATGTATACACATTAATCCACTTTTCAAATAAACTTAAAAAGTAAAATTAATACAAAAGTAGCAGCATAAATGTCACATTTTTATAAAATCATCTACGACTGTAAAAAACAAAAAAAACCCACACACTTTTAAAAAAAAGACTAGATACATTTTATAAAATGTGTCTTTTCCCATTTAAAAATAGTATTTTTTTTCTGTCTGCATAGCAGCAAAAAAGCAAATCCCCAAGATCAAAAAATAACATGGTCACGAACATATTGCCATAAGTTATAATAACCACTCTTACCTAAGAAAACAAGGTACGTGCGATTCTTCTGGTACGATTCTTCTGGAAGCCAGTCAGGAAAGAAGGCATTATTCACAAAATTCTACCTAAAAAAAAAAAAAATATATATATATATATACACATATATAGAAGAGCATGCACGTTTTCAGCGTTTAGCATAAAACAGAGTAAGTCAGATGTCTGAATTTTGTTCATCTTTAGGTAATTATTAAGTTTGGAAAAACTTAGGAGAGCAATAATCATATCTGTGGTACCCAACTCTAAAAATATGATTGCACACATTTGGCTGAAGAAAAACACTGGAAAGGAAGAGCGACCGACTGGCATAAAACATGCATGATCTGTATTTTCGTATGTATAGCTGTGATCTGCTCTTCCGTGTCCCATTACTTTAATTTTGAATGACCACAAGATCAAATATCTAGCCAATTTAAGTTGTTTTCAAGTGTAACTTCTTTATCACACAATATCCTTTACTCCTTGTGCTTTTTTCACATTGAAGTCTTTAGAAGTAGGCTACGTAAAACTAAATAATACCTCTGGTGATAGCAAAGTAGTTTTAAAATGGCTTCTGTCATCGGCTTCTGTGAATTTTAAGTCACAAGTTACTCGAGCTCCCCAAATATCTTTTTTGCCCTTTACAGTGCAGTTTTAAAACCTTCGGCATCTTTGAACCTTTAATCAGATCGTAAACTATGCTCTTTAACACAAGGAATAACATATTTGCATTACCTTTAGTCAATTTTTTTTGCTCTTTGTGAAAAGGTTTAACACTTAATTTTGCAGCGGTTTTAACTATCAACACAATTTTATATTCTAGAAGTTTGAAATCACTCTTTAAAAATGTAGATAATTTAAAAAATATTTTTATATTAAAAGATATCTCAAATTAGAATTCCAGTACCTATGAACAAATACATATAAATGCAGAACCTTTAAATAAAATACATCAAGAATTAAGAGTAACTTATTTTCAGAGACATTTAACTGCTTTTTTAGTTTCAGGAATTAAGAGTAACTTATTTCCAGAGACATTTAAGTGCTGTTTTAGTTTCAGAAGCTGAAATAAGTCAAATTAAAAAAATTACTCCCTAATGTACTTTAAAAAAAACCCAACAACAACAAAAAAAGCCAGACACCCATCTAAAGCTAGAACTTTCTTTTCAGGAAACTATGTATGTCAGAACCTGCTGTACACTGCAGAACTACTGCTCGGGCTATAAAACTATTTTAATTCAAATCTAAAATGAAGATGCCGAACACTTTGCATAATGGTGACAGAACTACAATGGTTGCTCAAACTTCTATTTCTAAAAAAGCCAACTTTCATTGTTGTAACAACTTATTCCTATTCACAAAGGGAGTAATGAAAAAACGTACATTTATCTCCATTTATGATATTTAAAACCTGCACAGAGTTTTATAATCTGGTATGAATCCATACCAGAAAAATGCAACAAATATGGCTATACATAATCTCCAAGTAACATGAAAATTCATTAATTCACATTTACCTCCTGGTATGCTATAGTGACTTTTTAAATAAATATTTGGAATTTGAATTTTACCCATAAACTGGTCATTGCTGAATGCAAGCCAATGTAAAACAAACATCAGGCGTTCCATTTAAACTTTCATTTTTAGTAAGTCTTCCAATATATAGTGTACAACTTCTAAATTATTAACCAGCGAAACAACGATAAAAACGCTATATAAATAGAAATGACTGCAAGCTCCGGGAAAAAACTGCATAAACTGAGTACTAAAAACAGAACTGACACCCAACAAATGCTTTTTAAAAGCTTTTAATGTGTCACACACAAATCCATTTGTTTCCTTATCATGTAATTTATATTTAAGTAACTATCTTTTCTCCTGGTAGTATAGTCTAAATGACAACTGTAGTATTTTGCTAACTTTAAACTGTAGACTTGACATGACCGAGTTTGTTTTTTTTAATACTTGCAAGTTCTTGTATTGCTATTTTAATCGTAAAATCATATTGCACATAATTCTTCAGAGTTCTCTTTAAAGTTCTACCCTTGAATTACTGTTTTTCAAGTGAAGTAAATTTTTATCTATTATTTAGGTGAAGTACTGAGCTGTCGCATCTGCAGCCTGTTTTTTCTTACTGGTTTGGAAAGAGTTAAAAGCCAACACCCCACAAAAAAACACCAAGTTTTATTTTTAAGAGAAAAGGACATGGCGTCTTTGTTCTTACAAACTACGAAAACATATCGCCATTTAAACAGCAATGGGCAACAAATGCTCTTTAAACAGATACGGGCTTAGAGCTAAACATTTAACTGATGATGTAGTATAGTCTTCACCTCCCCGCCCCCCTCCTTCACTGCTGCATTGGAGTTACAAGCTGGTTTGCAGATGCCCCCCTTTCCTGCTGCACTGGAGGGGAGCAGGTCTGCAGCTGCCCCCCTCCTCACTGCTGCAT